ATGGTGTCCGGAGAAGTCCCTAGTAGTTTTGACGCTTACAAGAGGAAGAAATTCTTCAAGGATGCTAGGCATTACTATTGGGATGAGCCTTACTTGTACAAGAGAGGACCAGACAGCATTTACTGAAGATGCATAGCTGAAGAGGATGTACAAGGAGTTCTAGAGCATTGCCATGGGTCAGCTTATGGAGGTCACTTTGCTACATTCAAAACAGCAACCAAGGTTCTGCAATCTGGGTTGTGGTGGCCTACCTTGTTTAAAGATGCAGCAAGCTTCATCGCAAAGTGTGATCCATGCCAAAGGAAAGGAAGTATCACCAAGAGAGATGAAATGCCACTGAACCCGATTCTGGAAGTTGAGATCTTTGATGTATGGGTGATGATAAAGATTTGTGTGTGGATGTGAAAGATATGAAGATGAAAGATATGAGGTGGAATGCAACAGTGGTAATGATGAGGTGGTAAGATGCAAACACAAACACAGTCAACAATTCCCTTTAACCATGATAGTGTTGTAGTACAAAGGGTTATCAATCCAAAATGGGAAACTTGTCACTCTATGAGAATATGAAACAACCAGGAAGTCAAGCAAGCAGTATAGATTTGAAGTAACACTAACAACCTAAAAAAATGAAAAGCAGTGCAATAAAAGTAAACAAAGCAGTGAAGTGTCAGCTCGACCAAGAGCTCGAGTCGAGTAGAGCAAAGTACCAGCTCGATCGAGTTTAGGGACGAGTTGAGACAAACAAAGCTAAAGGTGACGACTTTAACAAATAAAGAGAGAATTAGGGTTCAAGACAGGGTTTTGCAATCAAAGGAATCTACACTTAATCAATCTAGCTCTTAAAACTCCTTGTATCAAGGCTTCTCTTGATATTGGGCTTCTCAATGCCTAGCCAACCCTTTCCCAAGGTGAGGCTATCAACCAAGGAATGATCTCAGAAACAGGGGGTTAGCCAGTGAGAATCAAACCTTGGAGGCTATAGGATCATTGCCCAAACTAATCCATCCAACCCCTTAGACCTCTATTGTCTAGAGCAAGAGATATTGGAGCTCTTAGTGGATCTTTTCCAGCGAATGCCATCACTTCCGTGTGGGGAGTCGCCTAAGGACTTACAAGCCAGGGGTAGTGGTCATGTAGCCTTAAGATCTATCCAAAAGAGAGAGAATCTAGATTAAGACCATAAGCTAGAAGGATTAAGCATATGAAACCTCTAATCTATCCCATCTCAAACCCTAATGGGTAACTACTCACTACACATGAATGTAAACACAAGCAAATGCAATAAAAGAGACATCATAAGAAAGAGGAGATGAAATTAAACAACTTTTATTGAAATAAGCAAGTGCAAATACAAAGAAGATTAATCCAGGATCTAAGGATTCAAGAAGCAAGAGCTTCAAGAACACAAAGATGGGATTAGGGTTGCTAAAAAGTAAAGACAATAAATTAAAAGAAGCTAAAACAAAATAATCTAAAGCTTGGTGGTTTTTTCGTGGCTTAGAGCCTTTAAATACAAGAGGATTAGGTTTAGGGTCAAAGGAAGTCAAGGGGGAAGCAACATTTTTCGGGTTTGACTTTGACTCCAGCTCGATCGAGTTGAAGCTTGGCCGGTCGAGTTGAGGAACTCGACCGGTTGGTCGAGTGGACGGTCGAGCTGGTCTTCAAGATGGCTTCTCCCTTCTTCCTTTGCGTATCCAGTTGAGCTGCTTCCATGTGCCAAGTCCCTCCATGCTCCTCATGTCCCATATGCTCCAGAATGCTCCAAAAGACCTATTTCAAAGGACCAAACATGCATATGTATGCAAATGCAACCTAAAACTAACATGAATGCATAAGAAGAGAAAAGGAACAAGATATGATGCAAATGGAAGCTAAAACTATGCAAAAGATGCATAAAAGATGTGCTAAAACTATGTAAAATGCAAGTACATCAACACCCCCAAACTTGAACTTTGCTTGCCCTCAAGCAAACAAATAGAACAAGAAAGAGATGAGGTTTGAAAATAGCTGATTCAACACTTAAAAACATGTCCTCAAAAGCGATTTGCTAAATGTCCAACTTAGAGATTCTAGAATGCAACAAGGTGAGAGATATTCATTAAGATTTAACCATGCTTATCAACATCAATCCCACTTCACAGTCACTCAAACAATGCATTCAAATCAGCAAATCCCTTTAACATTCATTAAGCAAAAACAGTGAACCAAAAACATGCAAGATCAATCAACTCATTTGGTTTCAAGGGTTTATGGGTTAAGAGACAAAGAGGGTCTCTTTTGTATGGTGGTTTAGTAACAGGGATCTCTCAAGAAAGTGGCTTTGCTTTGGCAGAAGGCTAAGTGTTAGAACCAAAGATGATGCAAGAACAGCAGCTCGAGCCGCCTAATCCTAACTCGATCGAGTTCAACACTTAGAGCTTTTTAGAACAAAATCCTAACTACCCTTTTTGGCATTTCGCCTTTGAAACTGAGGAGCTTTGCTCACTTTTCTTTTAAGAACTTCCTAGGGAGAGGCTTCTTGAGGTAACATCTAGCGGTTTGGGATTTTCTAAACACTTAGGGAACTTTTCTTTCCTTTTTGACACTTGAGGCTTTGCCTTCTTTTCATTCTACTTAGAACCCTTTTTACTTTCTTTTTTAACTTCCCAAACCTTTACTAGACCCTTTTTAAACACTGCCAACTCCCTGGACTTAACCAAACTCTTTTTCCTTTGGGTTTTTCCCAACTTTTACCACTTTTCTGGTTTTTGACACCCAACTCGATCGAGCTCGAGTTGGCACCCCCAAACTTAGCCTGAAAACAATCCCAAGAGAACTAGACAACTAGAACTACTGCCCCTGCCGGTTTAAACACAACACCTTATGCTAAGCAAAGCCAAGAAAGGTTCTCACATTCGCACAAGAGATAATAATGGGGTTTGAAATGAAAAGGCTTAGGTTTAAGGTGTGGTAACTGTCTCAAAGATGAGATCAGCTATCTGGACAAGCAAAAGGGATATGAAAATAGGTAAAGAATGTCCAGATATGTATGTGGTAGCCATGAGTTGAAATCAAATGCAAGCATTGGTAATTAAAGATCAAGTTATGGTTCAAATAGATAGGGAAATGCATCAAATCACAGCAATGGTTGAATGAGATGTGCATGCAGCGATATGATCAAGATAAACATGGTTCTTGCTGCTCAATCAATCTCACCCTAATGCACAAAAGAATCTAAAAACAGGGCACTCAAGAAATCGCAAAAGATGGACAAGTTTTCAAAGTCAAATCAACAATGCAAGTGAAAAATGCAATCCTAAACAAGTCTAACAAATATGAATGCAAAAAGATGAAAATATTTTTGGATTTTTTGAAAATTTTATGATTTTTTTGGTTTTTCTATGCAAAAGATAAATGAAAAACTAAGAACAAAGAAAACAAGGTTAAATCATCTCTTGAACCCTCCCCCAAACTTAAATCACACAGTCCCTTGTGTGAGAAAAATTCAGTGAAAGATTCAAGAGGGCAAAACCAAGAAAAAACAAGAACAAATGCAAGAAAATATGAAATGGTATATACAAGGGTTGGTGTTTGGATACCTCAGTGCCCCCCAAAGAACTGGGAGGCTAGGTCGTGGTCTGGAGATGGGAGACGGCCATCAGGAGCGCTCCATGCAACTGGGTTCGGCTCACTCGATCGAGCTTGTGGCTCCTCTTCCTCTCTTCTTCATCTTCAAAGTGGTGTGGCTTCCTTGGCCTTGGTGGAGTTGTGCTCGCTCGAACGGTTGTAGGGGTCCAGGTCTGAGAAGTCCTGGTACTGGGTTGATCGTATTCGAATCCAGGATCTCAAACTGGGGCTCCTCCAGGTCAACTCGACCGTCAGCTCGATCGAGTTGAGTTTCCTCTGTTTGGACTCGATCGAGTCCGGTGGTCGAGCTGGAGCGTCTGGCCTTGGAACTCTTCCTCCTTCTCTGCGTGTTGTTCTCCTTCCCTTGGCTCGAAAGAAGAGGCTCTGTGAGGCTCTTGGGCAGGGAGCCTCCTTTGGGTGGTGAGGAGTGACCTACTCCTAGGGAAGTGGGGCCTTGGACTTCTTCTTGCTTGAAGAACCAGAAACTTTCTTCTCCAAACTCTTGATCTTGCTCACCATCTTGTCCATGGACTTTTGCATCTTCTCCATGGCTTTCCCTTGCCACTTGTTGAACTTTTGGAGAAGTCCAATCCTCTTGTGGCAGCCACAACAGAGGGGTTCATCCTTGGAGCCTCATACTCCTCAAAGTAATAGCACTCAGGCTCACCCAAATCCTCATTCACTCGAGCGTTGTCCTCACTCGATCCTCAGCTGATCTCAGCTCGATCCTCAGCTCGATCGAGCTCGATCTCTTCTTCTGCAAATCCGCTTCATGCCCAACCAAAGTGTACACAGGGGGTCTGAAGTCAATGTTGTACCTCCTAGGACCGTGGTGAGCTCAGGGTTGGGCAGAGAAGCTTGGAGGTCCAGCCGTGGGGTGGGTGAACTTGAATTGGAATCTCCCATCCAACTCCTTGTGCTCAATGAGGAGGTTGGTCTTGCAAAACTTGATGTCCATCCAACCTGGTGGAGTAGACCTTCTCTTGTCCACTTGAACTCCTGCTGCACAAAGATTGGTGTGATCACCCCTCCAACACTAAGCTTTCTTCCTCTTTGGTGCCTAGTGTTGTAAGCTGTGACCTTGTAGGCTTGGAGCTGCTCAAGGAGAGGCATGAGATTCCCTGCGTGTGCCCTGTCTCCTCTGATCTTCTTCCCATCCTTGTGCGTGAGATGATGGGCTTGATTCCCATGGTAAGGAGCTTCACTTCTCCCTCATTGATTGTTCCAGTGGCTTTCCTTGCAAAGAAGGTGTTTGCAAGAGCCTTGTGGACATATCTAAGCACAGGACTTCTGATCTGGGCAGCCTTGGACCTTGAGGAAGAGTACCCCTCTTCAGCTATTGTAGCCCATACTCTTTGGAGTTCTTCTTCCTTGATGTTCCATTGGTTACCTTCTCCATAGGTGAACCCAAACAGTATCTCAAGCTGCCTAAAGGTCACCATCTTCTTCTCTCCCTTTGCTAGAAGTTATGTACCCCCAGCCTTGGTCCAACTCAGCTCGATCGAGCTCATCAAACTCGTGATGCTTCATCGACGCCAAAAACTCACAAGTCAACTCCTTGTAAGACTCCATGCGGTGAGAGAAGAACTTCCCCAATTGCATGTTCTTGAGCACCAACTCCACATCCTCAAAGATACCAAGATCTCTCATGGTGTCATCATGTGGGTACTTGTCTCCACAAAGTCCATGGAGAAGAGAGCATTGTAGTGCTCTTGGTACATGGGGAGCTCATCCTCCTCCTCTTCTTCCTCAGCCTCTTCCATTGGCTCATCTTGGTTCCCTCTTGGTCATCTTCATCAACCAATTGGTTCACCTCTTCTCCTTCCTCATCACTCTCAGTTTCCTCACTGCCTTCCTCATTTGGAGAGCCATTTCCCCCTCTTGAACAAGGTTCACTCCAATCTCAAACTCCCCTTGCTCACTCTCACTACTAATGGGATCATTCCTCTTCTTGGTTCTCCTTTCCTCCATCAATCTCACTCTCAGACTGCTCCTCAGAGTAGACATATCCCCTGCCTCAGATTCTGTCATCTGCTGGTTCCTCTCTTCTCTCGTCTCACATACTCCAAACCTTCATCCATTGACATCCTTTCTCTCAATCTCCTTGCTTTCTCTGCCCTTTGCCTTCTTGTCACAGCTGTTTGGCTTCCCTCTCCTCTCAACATCTTGAACTTGTTGTTTCTTGAAGTTGGGTTCCTGAAATGGATCAAAAACAAAGAATTAGAGTTGCAATTGTTGGTTCGGCCAACTCGACACCCAACTCGATCGAGTCAAAAAACTCGAGTGACAAACTCGATCGAGTCAAGTGAAAACAGAGTATAACCAAACCTAATTCAAATATAAGAGCTGGAAAAGATGCTTAACAATCAAATTGAACCAAGAACAACTAAGTAAATGGAACAATGAGCAATTCTAGTGAAGACCCAAGCACCTTAACCAATACCAAACTCAAATTCAATTCAAGCACATGCAACAAGTTCTAGTGGAAAAACAGAGGTGAGGTAGGCAAATTCACAAGATTATACAAATATGAAGCATATAAGAAAGCAATGACTCAAGGATAAGTCCTCAAGGGACATGCAATCAAAATTAAGAGAAAACAAGCATATAAGAGGAATCGAGATGGAGGAGTGAAGGGTTTTAGGGTTCATACCTTGTTGAATGATGGATTGAAGAGCAGTAAACTAAACTCAAGCAAAACAAGAAGATGAACACTTGAAATCGCAAAAACTTAGAGAGAAAGAGCTTGAAATTCGAAAATTTGTTGTGGTGAAGAGAGAGATGGAGGAGTTTCAGAAATTTATGAGTGTGGGAGAGAGGAAGTGGGTTCGATCGAGTTATGGGGAAGAGAGTTGTTTGAGATGTGTGGTTGAGATTAAAAGATGATAAAGAGGGAACAAGAAACTAGGGATTCTCTGATCGAATTAGGGTAGTGGGGGACCAAAATCAGCTTGTGGGACCCACTCCCTTGACCAAGAAAACGGTTATGAATTTGAAATTCAAAAACTTACCTCGGTCGAGTTGTGGAACTCGATCGAGTTGCCCTGTTTCTAGCTCGATCGAGCTCGTGGGTCGAGCTGGCTCCTTGACACCTAAACTTAACTTATTGAAAGGTTAAAACATAAAGATAGATAGAAATTGCATAAATAGAGTATGTACAAGGATAAACATGGGACTTCCTCCCAAGTGAGCTTGTTTAAGGTCCCATAGCTTGACCTTTACCTTCTTAGGCATTGGTTGAGCTAGTCCCACCATCAAGGGTGATAGTGAGGACTTGAGACAGAAGCTCCTTTAGCTTGGTTGGGTCCCTGGACTGTTCTGAAGTCACCAAGGCTTTGGCTCTAGAGAATGGCCTTGATCTCCCCTTGTACCTTATCTTGTACTCAATCTTCCCATTTTCAAACTTGGTGGGGAACAAAGTCATTGTGAGCTGAGATGGCTTGATGAAGGGGCCTGAGCTGGTGGATCCTTTTCTTTTATCCCTGGTCTTGCCTTAGAGGCTGCATCCTCCCCTTCTTTTAGAGCCCTTCCTAGTGGCTCATCAAACAAAGCTTGAAGGCTTTCTTCATCAAGCACACAAGGGGCTTGAACAAGTCGATCAGCTCTTCCTATCAGATCGTGGTTTCTCAACTCTAGCCCTCTCAAGACGTGGCTTCTCAATCCTTGGTCCTCTCTCATCCTTATCCTTCCCAACTCTTGGTTCTTTGTCAACCCTTTCCTTCACAACCTTTGTAGCTCCATGACTCTTAGAACTGAGAGTTGGTACTGTCAATTGTGGCACAAAAGTCTGAACCTCTAGGCTGCAAGCGATATGACACCAAACTATTCACCTTGTGAAGGATCACTTCTTGCTTGTGAAAGTCTATTGAAGCGCCAACTGTACTAAGGAAAGGGGTTCCCAATAACAAAGGCAAATCCTTCTCTTCTTCCATTTCCATCACAGTGAGATCAGTTTGGATGATGCATTCTCCAATTTTCAAGTGATAGTTCTTGAACACTCCAAGAGGAGACTTAGAAGTTGCATCTCCAAACATGATTGAAGTAGTAGGGCGCTGCAAGGTTCCAGCAATGCCTAGCTTCTCTGCCATGGAGAGAGAGATCAGATTGATGCTTGCTCCAGAATCCACTAAGGCATTGTCAATCTCAAGATGCCCAAGTGTGCAAGGGAGAGTGAATTTCCCTTGATCCTTGACCTTTGGTAGGAAGGTGGGTGAAGTAAGCAGGTTGAACTGATGAGTAGACTCTTGTAGGACCTCTGAAACTTTATCACTGTTGGCTAGAACATCCTTGACCATTTGCATTTGATCAAATGCCTCACTCATGCTATCCATAGTAGGCAACTCAATTCCAATCCCACTGAGATCTCTTCTGAACTTGTGAATCACTTCCTTGTGACCTTGACTAAGTAGGCGAGACGAGGAAGCGCAACTGGCTGGTAAGGATCAAGCAAAACTGGTTTGCGGACTGAAGAGGTCGGACTCGATCGAGCTAGAGTTGGACTCGATCGAGCTGCCGATCGAGCTTGTCGTGCGAGCTCAACTGGTGAAGTGTGAATGGCCACAGTAGGTGCCTGCACTTCTGGTTGATCAATCTGGACTCCAGGAGCCTCAGCAGCAACAATCTCTTCATCATTCAGCAGTAAACAAAAATCTTCAATGACCCTTTCTTGATCCTCTTCTTCAACAAGTCCTTCTTGAGTGAAGATGACCTTGCACTGTTCCTTGGGGTTCTGAATAGCTTTACCAGGTAGTTGTCCTTGCTTTGTAGCAGCAGCAACAGAAGAAGCATGATTCTCCAGAGAGTAAACCCTTGTGTTGAGGTTCTCGATCTTAGAGTTTATTTCAGCTAGCTTCTTGCTTGTGTCCACTACCCCATCAGCTTGCCCTTGAAGTAGTTGCTTTAGCATGCTTTGAGCTCATTCTCTTGTGAAGGTGCAGGCTGGGGTGGTTGGTGGGGGAAGCCTGGTGGGATATTCATTTGTTGTCCAGGGAAAGTGCCTTGTGGTCCTTGGTAGTTGTTCTTTTGACCATACCCATGTTGTGGCACCTGACTCGATCGAGCTGCTTGTTGTTGAGGATATACTTGGTCCTGAGGGTTAGCAACATCAGTGTTGCGGTATGACATGGCAGGGTTGGACTTGTAATTATAGTATCCTTTGTTGTAACCTCCTTGCCCATTGCTCATGTAGCACACCTCAGCAAATTGTGTATCCTCCCCTTCTTGGACTGGTTCCATCTCCTCAGCAGACACAAAGTTGACTTTCTTCATTGTGGACTGAGCTAGGATCAGCTTATCCAACTTCTCATTCAATGCCTTAACATCTTTTCTCAACTTTTCGTCTGACTCGATCGAGTGGTGGGTCGAGCTCCGGTTGGTGCGATCATACTCTTCTCCATAGCTTCCATTTGAGTTGCTATGTTCTCCACAAGTGCCAGCCATCATCTACATCCTGGTTGAGGAAGTTCCATTGCTAGCTGTGTCTAGCATCTCCCTATACCTAGGCAAGCATCCTCTATAAAGAGTGGAGAGTAGGGATTCATTGTTGAATCCATGGTGTGGGCACTGACTTGTGTAGCCTTTGAACCTCTCCCAAGCCTCTGCGAATGTCTCATTGTTTCGCTGGATGAAGCTGGATATCTCCCCT